TTTTTGTCAAATATTTAAATGAAATTGGCTCTGCGGTTAATGCAAGCCACCATGAAACCCCATCTAATCCCCCACCCGTATTTTCATCCCACTGAGATTTTGTGATTACAGATAGAAAACCCTTTGACCGATCTGAACCAGAAGTCCTTTAAACACACACAAACACCAGGGAGGAGATGAACCCCAGAAAATCTCATGGGGTCAGATCTATGATTCTAGCTACTGTTGTTAAAACAGGCCTGGGCTGTANTATACGCCCAATACGCGACATTATTAACAATAATTTTTATCTGTATACATAATAGAGAATTCTGCATCATAGCCCTTCTGTTACTGTAACAATTAGAACCTTTGCATGTGTCATGTGTCAAGATTTGTCCAAATTTTACACAAGGGGTCATCAAGATTTTTAGGGGAGTTCAAAGTTGAGGATCATCAAAATTTTAATGGGTGCCCAAAATTGTGTTAAAGGTGGACAAACGGCCTTACATTATATTTCTTACAAAGAGAAGGCAGAAACTGGGCAATGCCGGGTCCTTCAAGCTGGTGGACAGGCAACATAATTTTCTGTCAAATATTTAAATGAAATTGGCTCTGCGGTTAATGCAAGCCACCATGAAACCCCATATAATCCTCCACCCGTAATTTCATCCCACTGAGATTTTGTGATTACAGATAGAAAACCCTTTGACCGATCTGAACCAGAAGTCCTTTAAACACACACAAACACCAGGGAGGAGATGAACCCCAGAAAATCTCATGGGGTCAGATCTATGATTCTAGCTACTGTTGTTAAAACAGGCCTGGGCTGTAGTCAATGAATACTGAACTATGTTCTCACAGCTTGGCAGAATTTATTATGAATATTATTATTTTCTTTCTTATTATCGTTAAACTAAGAGAAACAAGCAATTTCTTTTCAAGCATTTAATACACTTTATTTTTACACTCTGTAATCAAATACATACAAAGAAAAGTTTCATAAGTTGCTGGTGTTTCCTGCTGCTACAAATGGTAAATACTCCAATTTGCCTTCATTGTTGTAGTACTCACAATATTTATCTCAGATTTTCTTTGCATCCCAGGTACTATTTCTGTTCAGAGTGCTTTGTAAATCTGCAAGGTCATATTCATCAGTACTTTTTTCATTTGGGTGAAAATATACTTGATCACTTTCCTTTGCAAGGAAATTGTACAAGTAACAACAAGCCACTGTGACTGTTTTGGCCTTTTGCGGTTCAAGGCTGATTTGCTTCTGAAATACACTAAATTTTGAATCGAGAATTCCTAAAGTATTTTCCACAACTACACGAGCTCTTGACAATCTTTTATTGAATTCATGTTGAGCTTCATTAAGAAATTTCTGTGAGTGGGGTTTCATTAAATTTACATCTAATGCAAATGCCTCGTCCGCGATGAAACACGTATGGAAAACGTTCAGCTGTGTTTGGTAATGGTGTGGGTTTTGGCAAATTCAGTGCTCTTTGCTGTACAGGTTCCCCAAATTTTGAGTAGTACAGAACTCCTCCATCTGATATTCATCCATTCATGCCAGCATCTACCATGATGATTTCCTTTGTTGCGTTTACCACAGCTAACAGCACGATGCTGAAAAACCCTTTGCAACTGTAGTATAAGGAACCTGATTTCACAGGTTTTTTAATGGCAATATGTTTGCCATCAACTGCCCCCATGGTATTCCAAAATTGATGAAGATGGCTGAAATCACTAGCGATGTTAACCCATTCCTCAGGAGTTCTGGGAAACTGAAAAAAAAAACAGTGAAATTTAGATACAACAAATATATAAATACAAGATAAATATAGTAACAAAAACAATAACAACAGTTTTATCTATATTCAGGACACTCATGATGGAACAGACAGTGAGGTACACGGAGAACAATTCCTGACACCAGCAGCCCCTACCGCATCACGATCATCAGTTCTTCCACCACCACCTCACCCCAAGAAACAACGTGTACTTGGACCAATGGTGAAACAAAACAAGCTTCTACAGAAAGCTTGTTCATATCTGGACCAACCGAGGGAACCCCAAGAAAATATCCCGACTACTGCCAAGGCTTGGGGTGAGAAACTCAATACACTGGATCTTCAGCAAAGAGCTTTAGCTGGGAAAGCTATCAGTGATATCCTTTTTGAGGTGAGTCAAGACACTCTACACAGATATTCTATGAAAATCAACGAGGATCCCATGTACAGGACCATTTCGTTGCTAACTTCTTTCCCTATAACTGTAAGGAGGTCATCACTTCAATCCTTTTCATCTGTGGATACCTCTTCTCGTCCCTCTCCAGCTGATGAACAAGAAGATGCATTGCCTACATTCTTTACAAACTTTAAATCCTAATTATGATCCTTTATGTTGTTCTGTAACAGTCTCATTGCTAGTTTCACGTTTCGTTAGTCACATCCTTTTAAATAGAATTTTTATGCGTTTCATTGTTCAAGATATTGTATTCTAATAAATAACTTCCAACTAGTTGATATGTTTTAAATATACCCTACTGCACTTGAATTTTAACATATACCATGAGCAAATCATTGATACAAAACAATTATACAAAAGAGGACTTACCTTCATATACTCCTGCAGGACGTATATAAGCACTTCACGTGTTTCAACAACAGCAACACTTATTGTAGCAGATCACATGACAGCTGAAAACCTGAGGTCTTCAAAGTTTCTTCCTGTAGCCAGGTACCTCAGGGTCACTGCAAATCTTTCATTCACCGGTAAACTCTCCCTTATATTAGTGTCCTTCCTTATTAACAATAGTTCGACCATTCTCAGCAACTTATCAAATGTTCCTTCACTCATACAAAAATAGTTTCTGTAATCCTCTGATTCCATCGCACCAATTTCTTTTAGCACAACATGCAAATACTTTTCACATTTTTGTAACCAGTTTTCATCCAGCATCGGCACTTAACATTTCGTTTTGTGCCTAATGCTAAAATTATAGCTATACATGCTTTTCTGCAAGGATCCATATAATCCTCAAAAAAACTGACACAAAATAAATGTGCTTCTCTCTTGATGAGTTGAGCAGTACTGAAGCAAATAATGTCATTTAAAATGATCGTGTAAGGTTGAAAAGTAATGAAGGAGTAATGAAGGAAGGTAATGACATTATTACTGATCGTGTATGGTCTGCTTAAGGCAGTTGACCCAGTACTTCCCAAAGTACAGATAATCAAAAACGCCAGTTACTGGATGTCATACCTTGCAATGGTAGCGTTATAATGCAATTCTTTGTTCAAAGACAGACAATGCCTAGCTTTTAAACAGTTAAGACATGTGTAAGAGTCTCTCCTCGAAAGAGGAACAAAGGAACTGTGTATAGCCATTATGTGTGATACTAACGATGTAAATAATCAAAATTAAATAAAGTGTAGGCGTTGTGAAGTTTGTCGTGGGTTTTGTTTGACAGTCTTGCTGAAGCCAAGGCCCATTTAATGGTCCTGTGAAGGTCTGATGTTCTCTACTGAGTGGTGCCCAGTACATCATATTACAGAACCAGTTATTAAACAGCGAAACGTGAGGCTATGTCATCAACTACCCTCGGAATCACTAAAAGGTGATTCACAGCAAGCAGCCGTGTCTGACTTAACCTTTCAAAGTGGGCAGCTGTGGCCACCTTTATGCCATCTGTGGCTACGGCACGCCTGCAGAAGCTTTTTCGACTACAAGTAGCACTCAACATGTGGCTGCAGTGTGCCTAAGAAAAGTAATCTGATAAAATTATCTAATTGCTTATGCAGAACTAGCAACCAGACCTTGCTACTCTCATTTTGAATAAAATTAAGAACAAGTAAAACTGTTTATGTACTACAGTTTGTCAAGATTGCAACAAATTGTTCCTTCTTTCTTTCACTTTTGACATAATATGTTTAGGTCTTAAATGGCCATCTTCAGGTGTCTTACTATGCTAAAACTGTCACACTGCAGTAATATTACCCATTCATCACATACGTGACTGCATGCTTCATGATTCAAGACATCATAATCGTAGTCAAACTGGTGAAGCGTGCAGTCGCATATGTGATGAATGGATAATACTAGTGCAGTGTAGCAGTTTTAGCATAGTAAGACACCTGAAAATGGCCATTTAGTGCTGAAATATGTTGTGACGGAAGTGAAAGAAAGGAAAAATTTGTTGCACTTTTCACAGACTGTGCAGTATATAAACAGTTTCAGATATAGCAATGTAACAGGATGCTTAAATACAGGATTAAGAACAAGTGTTGACCATTTTGACTGACCGACGAAATAGGCTTTCAGAGGCTCATGCACGTATTTCAAAGTCTTTATACCACCAAAAGTAATAACAGAAAATATGTGGTGCCGTGCTAAAACAGAGTTTTGCATCCAATATCAGTTTCATTATGGAATATACTGTATCTAATTCAGTATCAGGAACTGTGTAGATATGAAAATATTTGTATATTATCATCATGAGTGCTTCAGAATCTATCAGAACCATACCATGGTTACTGCGTTACTGTACAATTTGCACTCATGAATTTTAAGAGTTTCCTTTGCTTTGACTTTTGTTGACAATGCATGTATGTTTCAAAACTTTAAGATCCACAAATTTCACAAGAAAAATATCACATACGAGCATAGCATTCTACAGCAGGAATAAAGTGCATATATAACAATTCTCTTATCCACGTGTTTCACTTGCTTTCATTCTTGTCGGAAACTATGTATAATGAAACTCTGAGTTGATAGCGGGCTGTTTTAGAACAAGTATCTCCTTCGAAAACAATTTTTTTAGTGTACAAAATGATTAGAAGCTAAAATCAGAGACATTTGTTCAAATCGCAATCACCCAACTGGAGAAAGATACTAAAACATTACTGTTCCAGCTGACCAAGACATACAGTTACCCCAGCCATATGTGTGACCATTGGTAAATTTCTCAATACGCCATTAACATTTATGAATGTGTTTGTAAAATAACCTATTCTTACCTTGCAAAATTCTTGTGAGTTTGGAGTCACGATATGGAACATGTGGAGCCTTCCCAGATGAAATAACCAAGGCTGAGATTACATTCCCCAGTGCAGACAAAGAAAGGTTGATTTTTGAGGCTTCTTTAAGCCTTTCACCCTGCAAAAAAAAATATTCATGCACTTCCATCACCAAGCTATATAATAAATAATAACTCACAATACAAAATGAGTACAATGAGAAGACCCACCATAAAATTTGTACCATCTATTAATTAAACATGTTATCTTTCTTTATGTCTTCGGATATCAAAATAACATTGGAATTAACTCCATAAAGTCCTGTATGAAAAATTCTATATAATTAAAAGTTTGACTTTAAGGGCAACTGTTATACGAGGGCTAGTCGGAAGGTAACCCGTGTGTTTTAGGCAGCTAACGTAGGAGCAGGGTAGAGCTCAACCAAGCAAGGTAGTGTCACTTGACTCACTGCCTTGTAAACCATCACATAACTGGTCACCTAGTGTTTGCTCTTGCCTCTACAGAATGAGTTATGATGTGATCTGTGATTATAACCTAGCCAGCTGCGAAATTTTTGCTGTTATTCACTTTCTTCATGCTAAAAACACGAGTGCTGCAGAAATTCTTCCTGAATTATTGCAGTGTATAGCCGAAGTATAATAAGTGAAGGAACTGTAAGACAATGGTGTAGAATGTTCAAAGATGGGCGAACATATGTACATGATGAAGAGTGAAATGGCTGGCCATCTGTAGTCAGTGAAGATCTTGTTCAAACAGCTGGCCAGAAAGTTTCTGAAATACAGCACTTCACAACTTCAGAACTTTCACGTGAATTTACACAAATTTCACGCACAGTTCTCTATGAGAGTATCACAGTTGAATGAATGAATCAATGTATGAGGGGTAGAACTTCTCAGCCCTTGCACCGCGACCTACAGTGGTCTATTGTGACAGTTAGGCTATGTTATCACAAGACACACATTTGGCACAAGAATAGATACTATGTACGTTGTAAGGAGAGGAAGGGCAGGCATTTAAACACCCTAGAAAAATATCACATTTACAAAATTAGCAGAAACAATTTACACATGAATGATACATTAAAGTACACAACCCTATTTTTCAAACAGTGCGTGAGCTTTGCGATAAGAAGCAGTACACTCGATACCTAAAATGAAATATAAGCGACAACAATCACATCAACATCAGTACAGGGAACGCAAAGGGACACTTGATATGCACAATCAAGAAAACAACATACTAATGAAATACTTAAGAACAGAAACACAACACTTAAATACACAAGGAAATATAACCAAACATTAAAACCAGAATTATATTAATTAAATACATGTTACACATTGCAGAGTAACAGCTGCATTTCAAAAAAGATGTGGTGAAGAAAACACCAATGATGTAATGAAAAGAATGATATTTGATTAGTGGACAATGAACTAGATTCCTTATAAAAGTGTTGCCTGAAGATGGCCTCATATGGCCGAAACATGAAGCACTATGATACTGCATATATATTCTAATATTTTAATAGCTTTAATAACATTTTATACAAATAACGACCACTGTATGGATTAAGTGGAAATCAGTATTGTTAATTCTTGCATTACAACAACAGACTGTAAATGACAACTCAATGCAAGAGGATACTCAAATATAATATTAAGCTTTGAAAAGCTTAGCTACTTCTCAGCACTTTCTTTTGTTATAATTTTGACTCTTATCATCTTCAGGGGGTGGAGTACAGCTGGGTTCACTCAGCACATCAACTATCCCCTTCAGGATAACTCTAACCTCTTTTCCTCTTTAGGATACACAATATTAGCTGTTTCCGAATATGTACCTTCTTCTCCTCTGAGAAGCCTACTCTTTTGTCCCTGGCACAATCCTGTTGACTTCATCAGACAGCGAATCCACTTGCCCACTTCAGATGTTGCAGGAGGAGGCATAATGCCTGGTTCAACATTTTGGTTTGACAAATTTCCTCTCTCAGCCACTAATTTCTTGGCAGTCTGACTCATGTAACCGGAGGCTTAGAAACCTTGTTGGATTTTCCTAATTGACAAGCTCTTCAGAGAAATGATGAGAATTTGCACCTTTCCACTCTTTAGTCCTGTCATGTGAAATGTTTCCCTCAAATGTGTTACCACTACACATTCACCACTGGAGTATGTCAAAGTGAATATTTTTCTTTTCATGGTCCCTTTGATTTTCTTGAGAATTTCCTTTCAGTGCTTCTCTTGTGACATTTAAGTGAAAGTGACAACTGTTCTAATGATCCCTGAGAAGGAAGTGGAAGTCTTCTTTTCAATTACCATGTTACTCCAAATCTAAGATGCATCTAGTTTTTGAATCTGGATTTTAGGGGGAAAAAGAAAAAACTATAAAGAGTGCACCCTTCCTCAAATGTAAGATGCATTTATGCTTTTCAATGGAGAAAAATGTGTAAAATGTGCACCTTACAGCCAAAGTAATATGGTATATCCTATTCTGACTTGAAGAAACAACTGTTTAATTTCCAAAAGTTTTGGGCATATTTGCAATAGTTTTCTTACATTTACCACAGTCTTAATCCTTTTTGAATATCAGGAACCCTTTTTTTTTCATCCAGTCCAGGTTTTTCTTACAACCTACACTCTGGCTAACATTCAAGGGATTACAACATTGTTTTAAAACATTATGTCCTTTAATATTTGACCAACTCTACTGGCACCAAGCATGAACTAAAATGCTGGATGAGTCATGCATAAATCTGGCTATAATTCTTATTGTCAAGGTCAAGACCTAAATGATAATGTGCTCTGGAGCACTGTGAGTGGCAAATTAAATGAAAGTCCCACTTGACAGCTTTCGATTAGTTTAAAGACAAGTTTTTATCTTAATTAGGATTACAGTTATGTATTTTAGTGAATCAGAAAAAGGTGAAATTTAAGGAAAATTTAAAATTTCAAAATGATGCATCTCTGCAATTTTGGGACACAGGAAGGTAGAATTTCATGCATGCCACTTCCTAAGCAGACCCAACAAGATAACAAATTTTTATTAGAATCAGAGATGGTCATGAAAATTTTGCTCTGCATTCTTCTGACATGATATGACCCAACAGTTGTCTTAAAATGAAATTACTTCCTCTTAATTGTTCTCTCAATTTCATGATGTCTGATTATAGGGGTCCATCTCACATTTGATGAAATCTAAAAGTAAATCTGATTCTTAATAACCATCACGGTCCACATTACAATACAGACATCACCAGCTTGTGGGTGATATTGACATGTGCTCAAGCTGTTATAACGCAACTCAGGGGTACCTCAACAAAACATACCGTAGCTCCAGTTTTGGACTGCCTTTCACTCCCTGCCAGATCAACCAGGTTTAACTTGCCAACACGAATCACTTTCTTCCCTCCAATGCCACTCATTTCAATTGTAATCATGAAGATGGCGTGAGACCGTGAACTATGTTCATTCATGTTCGTGGCACTGAAAATTAATAATCCAGCGTTATTAAATTGAATTGCATTTCAAATTGTAACATGCAGATAATATTATCCACATACACAGGTGTCTTAATTACATACCTTAAATATATGCATCATGTTCTACACCCAAGAGGCATGCAGAAACACGTCTATAAATGTATGGCTACAACCACTTGGTTAGCAAGATGTTGCAACTTATATAAGTGTATGGCTACAACCACTTGGTTAGCAAGATGTTGCAACTTATATAAGTGTATGGCTACAACCACTTGGTTAGCAAGTTGTTGCAACTTATATAAGTGTATGGCTACAACCACTTGGTTAGCAAGTTGTTGCAACTTATATAAGTGTATGGCTACAACCACTTGGTTAGCAAGTTGTTGCAACTTATATAAGTGTATGGCTACAACCACTTGGTTAGCAAGTTGTTGCAACTTATATAAATGTATGACTACAACCATTTGGTTAGCAAGATATTGCAACAGAAAGCACGAGGAAGAAAAAGATAATGTAGTTGTGGATAAACAGTTTATTAGGCTTGAAATGAATGGCATCTGACCAGTTACTAATAGTTTACAAGAGATGTTTAAATGGTCCACCACAAAGAGATCCTGGTTTGCCAAGGATTCCTGGTTCACTGAGACACATTAGGCATGCTGCATATTGTAGCCCCAGCTGGTTTAAAGACATTCCATGGCTCATCCCATGTGTTACAACGCTGGGTATACAAAATGTTCTTTGGATGGTGCCACAACTTGGCAAGAGATTGATCAGTTGATCATGGAGGCCACACAGGTGGTCTGTGTGAACACAGAACACCACAACACTAGCACGTCAACAGCAGCAACCTCTTCACAGCCTTGAGACTGAAGGACTGCTCTATCAGTTTTATGGTGCTGCCTCACAGTTGCCATAAACAATGTTTCCACATTCTGCTAACAAAGTAGCTGCAACCATATATTTATACTGTGATGTTCCTGCTTGCCTATAAGTGAAGAACATAATGATTACATTTAAGGTATGTAAGACTCACCGCATATACTGTTATTTGTTCCATTACTACATAAAAGAATATTCATAATCATATGGCTGAATTAAGTGTATGCATGCTTTCAAGTATTCACTGAGTGTTTTGGATGTTCCATATATTGGACTATGGTCATTTCAGCATATATTTCAGTCTCTATCTTAATGATCAATGACATGGAAGAACAAAAATACAATTATGATACCACTGCAAATACCTATGGACAAGACAAATAAAAATATTGCCTTTCTTTTTCATCATAAGAGAGAATTGTTGTTACATCAGTATAAAAGTGGTTTGAATGATGTACTATATAATTACTATGCAAGGTTTCTGAAATTCAGTACATACACGAGGGCTATTTGAAAGTAACTTCCAGTGAGCTCTTAACAAAATAAGCAACAGAGGGAAAAATTTTATTATATATAAAAAAAAAGTACATATTTAAACTACTTCTCAGCGTAGTTACTGCCAGAATTGAAGCACTTGGTCACACTGGGGAGTTAGTTTCTGAATATCTATGTCAAAGTAGTCTGCTGCCTGTGAGCTCAGCCTTGCTTTGACACCTTCTATCAACTCCTCATAATTGTTGAAGTGCTGTGATTAAAACCAGTTCTTCAGGTAGGTAAACAGGCAGTAGTTGTTAAGAGAGGGACAAGAGCTGTAAGAAGGGTGGTTAACCAAGTCCCACTTGCAATGTTCCAGTGGTGCTGGAGTGCAGATTCACATTGTCATGGAGGAGCACTATACAGAATGTCAGCATTAAACACTTTTTGTTCTGATTGGCAAGCCCTAAGCAGTTTTAGTGTTTCGCAATACACTTCTGACATTATTGTGGCCCCTTGTTGCATGAATTCGACCATCAGCACTCCTTTTCTGTCCCAGAAAATAGCTGTCATCAGCTTTCTGGCAGACCTTTATTTTAAATTGTTCAGCTTGTTTGGCAAATGTGTGTGCATCCAACTGCTTTGAGTGTTCTTTGGTTTCAATATTCACAAATGAAACCCAAGTTTCATCACCTGTTACTCATATGATGTGACTGAGAAATTAATCACCATCTTTGTAGTACTGCTCTAAAAATTCAAAGCCATACCCGCGAGAATATCTGGAATTCATCTTGCCCAAAACTAATGATAGCCTAGCCTACATTTCCTCAAGCTTTTTAACTTGGAGGAACCGTTGAAATAATTTTCAAGTCTCAGAAAGCCCCTGCATAAACATTTTTTATAAAGGTATACTCTGGATTTCATGTAAATGAAGGTTGTAAATTGATCATAATTAGTGCCATGTACAACATGAAAATTTATTGACAAGGTTGAACAGTAGGTTACTGAAAACCACAATATAAATCAAAGCAATATGAACAAAAATATTCTAAAAATTTGTAAATGAAATTTACTTCTTTAATGTGAAACCTGTGCTTGTTTCTGGTTGCCTAAATACAGGTACTTACTTCAGAGTTGAACTTCATATAGTACACACAGGGTTCATCTTTAACAAGACAATTTGTAGCTTTGCTCTTCATACTTGTTAAACAAGAAAAAGCTTGCTCACACATGCAAGAAGTCGGAAGCTGCAGCATTTTGTTTATTGTTTTCCTGTGAATGGCAGAATACTCCTCTATCATGGAAATCCAGACCTTGTCCAAGGATGGGTCAGTAATCTCATCTGGAGGGTACAATCAGACTGCAGCTCACAAAGTTCTTCCTCACCTTTCAAAGTCAAGTTCTCAGGATGAGCAGATGATTGAGAGTAAGAGTTCCTCACCCAGACATACACTTGTGTTGAAAGGGAGGGAAAATAATGTTTAACTTTGTTCCACAGTTCTTCCATGTGGTTTTCAATAAGAATTGAGACTTGCTGATATCCTACTTCACACTCAAGCCCCAGCAGCTGTGGAAACATTTGAAGATTTCCTTTCACATCATGATTTTACCAAAGATTCTGTTTCCTTTAAATCCAAGAATCTTGTCACTTGAAGTCAAAATATGTTCTCCATGGCCTTACACAGACTTGTTCAACTGGGTCACGTGATAAAGAATGTCTGCTAAGTAGGCTAGTTTCTCCAAACATTCTTCACCTTCAAAGCACTTCGCAAAATCTGGCTTACCTTGAAAGTAATCCTGTAATTCACCGTTCAGCTCACTGTTGAGAACTCCTCCTCTGTCAAGCTACCACTTTTCTGTATGTGGCAGGATATTTATGTGCTGTTTACCCAGGTTTTCCCACAGTTTTTTTTAACATTCTAGAGTGAACTGGTCTTTCTTTGATAAAGTTAACCATTTCTGTAGCATAATTCAAACTTTTTAAATTTCTTTTTTAACATGAGAAGCAAAACCTCCAACGGAACTAACCACTGATAGGCACTATCAGTACATATGCCTAATACAGCTCTCCCAAGACATTTTATTTCTCAGATATAAAGACAAGACAGTAAATATATTGTCATGTGTTGGGTGTATAATGCAACAAATAACTTCACGCCGTATTTGATATAGCAAATTTATTGAACACTCACTTTCACAATCACATAATTTACAATTTTACAACTACTGCCATCTGCAGTATCACAAATACTTCTCTTGTTGTTACTGCCATGCACTCGATACAACTCAATAACAATGGACTTCAAATCACTCTGGCGAATGCTGGGCTGCAACTGACTGGTTAATCGTTACTCACTAGTAACTCATTCACTAGTAACTGGCTCAATCCTCACTACTCACTAACTAATCACTCACTACCGAATAGTGTTCGCTGCTCCTTATTTAGCCTTGGCACGGACAACACAGAAAACAGTTACGTGATAGGTACTGCTGTTGCCTGACACTGTGTTTACAGGTCTTGCTAGCAACGCTGTCGAGAGCTGTTTATTGCTGCGTAGCAACCATGGTATCCCTTGGTAACAACACAGCTGCTCTTCTGCCACATCACCGCGGGGGAGGGGGCGCCCACAGAGCGTTGCCTACTGATGGAAGGAGTGGGGGTATGTGATGTCACTCGCGAGACCAGAGTTCATGCGACCCCCATTTCCCGTTGCACCATCCACATCACAATATCTTACCCTGTGCTTGTTTCAGGCAGCTCTTTGCAACAGAAAGTTCTCCTGAATCTCACCGCCATTTACAAATCTTACAAATGCTACAATACAACTTTCATTTGCGAAATCTGTTGACTCATCAACATGGACAGAGAAACTGGTATTTTTCAGTTTGTCACTCAAAACCTCTTTAGCATCATGTGACATGTCATCAAGACTTCTATTTATCATATTGTTTGAAAGTGGAACATTTTCAGTTTATCATACAACCTGTGCCAGCATTTTATCCACTATAATTTTACATGCTGGGATTATTAGGTTGTCACCAACGGTGTGACTTTTCTGTGCAATAAGTTCTGCTACTAAATAACTTGCTTTCTGAGCCATTTCACTGACTGTAACTTTACTAGCGAAAGCCTTACGCTGTTCATTTTGAGATTCCAACAGCTGTTTCAGATAATCAGCACTTTTACTAGACTATTGGCTGTGAATTGTACCTCATGTCCTCTCTATTTTGCCGGAGCCATTCCTGCATTTGTAAGTCGTCTGCCACAGAAAAGGTACAATGGAATAGGACAACTAGAATCACCAGTCTGTGTTAAGCCCATTGCAAAGACGGGCCGATTTTGGGCCCATTGTTATTCTAGTGCAGTGAAATTTGTCAGAAGCTTGTCATTCTTTATCACTAAGTTCATCAGAATGGTCTACTCCTGGGATTGAACTCGCCCTTTTTTATCACAATTCTTTTCTTCTAAAATTGTCACATGGGACTGTCAGACATTCTGTAAAACACAACAGTGTCGCCAAACAAAAAATGCCAGTCCCCATTCATCATGCCTGTCTCCATTTGTTCTACCTTCAAATAAAAGTTACCACAAAAGAATGAAACCCACTACAATAAACTATTTCAATTTTGGCACACTTGTTTCCAATTAATTTAAATGGTAACTGTTATATTAAGATTACTGAAACAATCAAATAACTTTGTAAGTTTTGAGGTTTTCACGGCGATGACAGTGAAGAAAGTTGTCTTCTGGGTTTAGGCACCGTGTATTCTTCGTTTTGGCCGACGTTTCGGAGGAACATAGCGCCTCCATCTTCAGAGCAGTTGAATAGCTGTGGAGAGCAGTAGCTGTGGTGATAGGATGTGGAAGGTGCTACTTATATACGAAGTAGGCAGGGGGGGTGGTTAGGGAGAACGGACCAATGGGAGCAGTGGAGAGCGAATAAGGCCATATATGGTGTGTGACTAAGGGAGAGGGGGACGGCCAGTGGGTACAGGAAACTGAGGTCAATAGCACTAGGAAGTGCGGTAGTCAAGAAAAACCC